ATTGATTCAGTTTTGTTTTTTCTTGATACCCAGAATTATATTGTTTTTTTGATGCATTTTTATTTTCTTTTTGATCCCTTGCCCGTCCTCGGGTGTCTCCTCTTGACTGGATTCATCTTCTTCTGAACTTTCTTCTGGCTGCTGAACCCCAAATTCATGTGAAGTGATGGACTCATTATCATCTTTGTCACTCACGATCTCCCATTCTTCTTCATAATCACTGGTCCTATGCGTCTCCTGAACGGGCAAGAATGTGAGATCCTCCTCCAATCTTGTGAGTGCTTCCTGTAGCCGCCCCTTCTCCTCAGCTTCTTCATCAGCACTGACTTCATCATCTTCCTCTTCTGGCTCCTCTTCATCCTCCGACGCTTCATTGGAAGTCTCTTCATTCTTTTCTGTATCTGCTGCAAAGGCCCATGTCTGAGGTGATCGTTGCAGCATCTTCAGTGAATCTTGGATGTCCTCCGCCGTCCAGAATTCTTCGATCTTGGGGCCAAAATCCAACAGACAGACTGCCGGATGCCTGGTACTTGTAAGGGTCATGGACTTCCATGTTCCTTTGATCTGGATCTTCTTGTCGGCGAAGCTCAACACCACATTCCATCTTGCCATCTCAGATGGTCCCACCAGTCCAGGGCATAGGCTTGCTCCTCCACCCACGCATGACATGCGAATCAACTCTGATGTTCCGTGGATGCCGACTGGGTAAATGTATCCTCGATGGCTGACTTCTGGTGCACCTGAACCAAACTGAAAGGTTTCCTCCTCCGGCTCCTCATGCCAGGTGAGTCCAAGACGTTTCAATTGTGTTTGGTATTCTTCATGCCATCGGATTCCTGCAACAGCCGAACGACATCCACTGTCCATGATTGCCATGCCTGGTGCCGTGGACAAAAACACTTCATGCTCGGTCTTTGGTGAACTGGTAGTTGCTACCCAAGCTCCATGTCTTTCGGAAAAGTAGATCACATGCTTGAGGCCGCAATCTCGGCATGCTGCATAGTGTCCATCGCCGTTTGAGCTCCATCGCAGGCGATCTTGTGGATGCGGACATCGAACCTGTTCTGAGGTGGGTGTGGGCGCACCTGCCGATGGTCTAATCTTTCCTTTGACCGTCTGGTTGTCACATAGTTCTTTCCTGAACTGAGCCAGCATGCGATCTTTGACTGGCTTGGGAATGTCTTTCCGGCGCTCCATGTAGCCTCCAGCTGGTGAAGTGGCCTTTGGTCTGACTGGCATCTGAGAAGAAGATCCGGTAGCTCTGGGATCACGTTCATCTTCACTGGAACTCTCATACTGTGGCAGCAATTGGCTTCTCTCCAATCGTTCATAGGCATAGTCCCGCTCTTCCTTCTGCAAAACCTTCTGAATCTCTTTCTTCTCCTTCCGGGACATCATAGGCAAAGAGGCCAGAACTTCTTCTGGACTTGCCTTCACTTTCTCGGCCCGATTGAATGTTGCCACTCCTGCAGCTTCTCTCAGTAAGTCCTTCCGGACATGATACATCTTGGGCTTGTCCTCTGGTTTGCTGCTCTCTGAACTTGGAATCTGCTCCTCATCGTCATCGCCCTCACTGACTTTAGTCCAGCCCCGTTTCCCTTCTGGCATCCTCTCATCTGGATTGAGTGCATGTCCACAATGTGAGCAAAACTTGGCTGATGCAACACTGGGCCAACGGCACTTGGAACATGAAGTCGTTGGTGGAACATGTATAGTTTCTTTCTCCTCCCTGGTCCTTGTCTTCTTCTGATGCGTAGTCACGACATACGTGAAATGAACTGGATTGCTTCCACCTCCAGGTGGGGAAGATGTCGTTGGCTTCTTTGGACTGCCTTGATGCGGTTTTGTCTTTTCCCGACTTCACATTGGGGCATTGAGGGTCGCCCCGCCAATGTCCTTTCTGGCCGCATGAAGCACAATGCGAGGCCGCCTTCTTTTGGTTGATGGAGGTTGGGAGTACCTCCACCAGGCTGAGACCATCCTCTTGCCTTCTTCTTTTCTCCCATGCGAGACTTCGCTCGCCATCCTGCTGCATATGCCTCCATCATCATCTCATCTTCAAACTCCTCATCTTCTGGTCCTTCTTGACCTTCTTCTTCTTCAATTGGTGCCAATTCCTCGTTCTCTCCTTCTTCTGGTCCTTCTAGAAGCACCTCATTGTCTCCTTCTTGTTCGAGGTCCTCCTCATCCTCGTTGCCCTCATCTTCTTCATCGCAACCGGCTGCATACACTCGCTTGTATACCTTCTTGTAGCCGGTCTTCTTCTTGTCTTCGTAGTTGCGAGGCTTAAAAGGTCGGCTGACCTTATGAGGTGTCGGAACTCGTCTCTCATCTTCATGGGTGTTGGCACACCGGTGACGAAGGGCACGCTCGATGGCCTGAGGCTCATACTGACCTCCTGCTGAAAAGAAGACATCCAGGCGTTCTCGTCTGGACAGTGAACAGCTGTTGAGGAGTCGTTGAGCCCATGCCCGATCCGAAAGCTGAGTGTCTGGGTCAACACGTTGATACTGAGCTCGGAGACGTTTCATCTGTCCAATGTAGGCGCTGACTGGCTGGCCTGGAAGTCGACGGTACTGTCCGAGTTCCCGTTCGGCCCGCTCGAACAGTTCTTCATCTGTCTCACCAAAGGCCTCATCTAACAAGCGCCACACCAAACGAAGGCCTCCTGGCCGAGTGAACTCTGAGATTGGTGCTTGATCCAGGCAGTCACGAGCATCTCGTTTGGTGGACAAGTAGACGAGCATTGCCAATTCCTGCTCCTCCAATCTGTATAGCTCTTGTTGAGCCTCAACTGCCTTCTTCCACTTAGTGTACTTGAAGCGTTCACCTGAAAACTCTTCTACCTTCACTGAACCTAGACTTGACTTCGGACGTTCAAGCTGGTGGTGAACCCTTCGCTTCAACATACTGTGGATGGCTGACGTGTCAACCGAGGAGTCTTCACCCTCTCCTTCACCATCCCCTTCCGGATGATATGGGAGGTGTTGAGCCTCCATCACCGCCCCCTGGACGCGCACGATGCGGTCGCGCTGAACCGGCCTCCTCATCGATCTTCTTTCGCTTCTCTTTGACTTCAGGCTTCTTTTGGCTTCCTTCAGGCTTTCTTCCTTCGGGTCCTGAAGCGGCCGGCGGACTGCCACCCATCTGGTTGGCCACGAACGGCGGCACGAAGGGCATGTACCCCATATAGCCATACATTGGTGGAGGGTGCTGCCAACCAAAAGAACAACAGGGTGACCTCCGACTGGAAAACCTGGATGTCCGCAACCACATGCATGAACCGGTGGATGAAGCCCCATGCATGGTTGTGAAGCCATGTGAACTCCATGATGTACTGGACCATGTGGAATACCCGAATCATAGTGGTGCATACCGAACGGAGAGAAGTCTGGATGAACTTCGGGTGGTATGAGCCCAGGTGGGGGAAGACGTTCAGCTGAACCAAATCCAGGTGAACCCATGCTCAAATGATTCGCGGCCGGAAGGGTCATGTGCTGCCCTGGCTGTGACAACGTCTCTGACGATACCATCTGCCAGGATTGATCGGTCTGTGGCACCTGTGAGGATGTCTGAGCACTCGACAAGTTCATGACCGGCGGAATCTGCCCCTCCCAGTTCCACCCAGCAGGTGGAGGTACAGCCTGACCAAAATCTGCCCCCCCTCTGCCATGACCGCTGTGGCCCATAGTTCCCTGAACGTGGTGGTCCATGTGGGGGAGTAAAGGTCACAGGTGCTCCTTGTGCGTGCTGCGTGTGTTCTGCTGCCCATGGATCTCTTTGAGTCAACGGATCAACGTTCTCCATCGACTCTGTCGCTTCCCGATTCGCAGGGTCCCGATCGGTGGCGGGATCAACTGCCATGCTCCTAAAGCAAGCAGCCTAAGCGGGCTCCGCTACCAATGTTTAACCAATCTAACTCGCTAAAACCAAGAAACACCGAGCAAAGCAAGCACCGCCGATAGGCGGAAATCACAACAAGTACAGTAAATGAAAGCAAGCAAAGCGAAGCTAGCGGGCTTTTTGCGCAAATGAGCTGACATCGATGCCTGCGGTTCGGGTCCTTCAAATCTTCAAGCGACAACATGCGAAACTGACCAATGCCTTCATGAAACGGCAAATCTTTCACAGCAACAACGCGGCCAAGCCAACAAACCCACCAAGCAACCAACAAGGCAAGCAACCAAACCAAATAACTCTGTGTTTTCCCCAAGCGCTGTCGATACTTGGCTTGCATTGCGGGGGGAGGCGCTGCGCCCTCCCCATTTACATATCATCCATCCGTCCGTCCGTCCGTCCATGCATCCATCAACGGAGTGCCAGCCAACCAACCAACCAAGCAACAACGCGGCCAAGCCAACCAACCTTTTGAAATGCTGTCGATACTTGTTTTGCATTGCGGGGAGGCGCTGCGCCCTCCCCTGCCCCCCCGCCCGCATTTATTTACACTCCATCCATTTATGCATCCATGCACGCATCCATCCCCACCCGCCAATATTTACAGAGCATCCATCCATCCACCCATCAAAAAAGGAAGCAACCAACAAACCAAGCAACCAAAGCCACACAACCCAGTGTTTTCCCCAAATGCTGTCGATACTTCGTTTGCATTGCGGGGGAGGGCGCAGCGCCCTCCCCCGCACCCCCTCCCGCCTTTATTTACACAGCATCCATCCACCCATCCATCGATCCATCAACCAAGCGCACAAACAGGAAGAATTGCATATCCATCAAGCACTGCATCACGCAAGCAATCAACAGCAAGCAAACCAGCCAACCAACGCACCAAAAAGTAACATGTTTCTCCCTGTCCATGATCCATCCATCACTATATGTGCTTTCCCCAAATCCAAGCAACCAACAAACCAGTTTAGGGAAGTCATTGATGCTGACGAGACATGTGGAAAACCCATGAAAATCCTGTATGGAACCTTTTCATAACCTTCCATCGCTTGCAAGAGTGACGGTGATTACCCATTTGAAAAGAAGCGTTGTGTCAGGCTCCAACTGGGTCAAGATCTGTGATGCACTGAGTGGCAAAGTCTGTTGTGTGTTGGTTCAAGAGCTGGTGTATCGAACTGCAGTTCTACCTGTTCCATCAGCTCTACAACGAAATGTGAAAAGGGTTGCAGGAACCTTGCAAATCGATGCAGAGATTAATGACTAGGGACTAGTGCACTGAAGAACCTGCCAAGGCAGCTGTGCTCCCGCTGTACACACCTCCATCTTCACCCTGTCTATCGCCGTGCGCAACCCCCCAATTGCCATGTGACTCATTTGCAAGTGGTGTTTCATTACTGATGAAGAGAAAGATGTGTAGGCCCTTTGTGTAGGCCAAGAGGATTCAGACTATCAACACGCTGAGCCTTTGACAATGTCAGTTCTTGTGTGCTTGTCATGCAAGCGCATTCTGTTTGATGAGAAACTTGTAAGGTAGACCGGAGATGTATGTGGATACACAGGCACTTGAAGATCTTGAAACATTCCTTGCACATTGTTTTCGCCTAAAGATTGGCCGCATCCAGCTTAACTGAAATAGTGGTAGTTATATACGTGTTTTTTTGTCACTACGTTTTTGTGTCTACACATCTTTCATTCAAGTTCTTAGTTCCTCAACCGCTTCGCCAAGCAGCCAACACATTCATTGATTTGAAGTGCTGGAGACAAGGTGAAAGATGAAAGACTCAAATCGGTGTTTGAAGCCCAAGCAAATGACCACATGGGAGTTCCAGGCCTCGGTGATTCCTGTATACACGGCTTCAGCTTCACCGTGCATATCCCCAAGTGCAACCCCACAATCAGCAAGCAGCTTGCCCGCAAAAGATGACGAGCTGGGACTTGACTGGAAACTAATGTGGATTTGTGTTTGATCAAAAGCTTCATAGCATCACAGATGGTTTTTGACTCCCAATCTGATGCGCATGCACTTTCACACATTTTGATATGGTACCACACCTGCCTGCAAGGTAGACCTGTCAGCTGTATGGCACCTCTGGCGAGTTATCAGAGGGTTTTTTTGTTTTGTTTGATGTGCATGATGGATGAGTTGACTTGTTCTCATGAGTTGGAGTTGGATCAGTTCCAAATGCCAATGGGTGGTGTTGTTTGCTTTGTTGTTGGTTTTGCCCGAAGCCTGCTGCCCAAATTTGAAGCGTATTACGTCACACATCAGTCATATTGAACATCGGATCCTCATGAAGTCTTGCACATGCTGCCATCAGTTGGCATGGCATCGCAATACAAACAGTATGCAGTATGCATGTGGTTCGCCCCAGTACTGCCAGAGTCGTTGGCGCCATTACTGGGCGCAGGTCGTTGTCCGCGCAGGTACCCGTTGTTCCTGTTCTTGCAGCGCCGGTTCCAACTACAAGCTACATAACTCCCTGCGCAACTCCGCAGTCACCATGTGGCTAGGCGACAAGTTTGCGAAAGCAAAGTCTTTTTGCCACATGCCAAAGAGTTATTTTGAATGTTTTGAAAGGTTATTTGCACAATTGTCGGGTTCTCCCAAAATCTCCCAAACAATTGTTGCAAAGTCTGCAGGATTCTAAGCACGGCCTTTGATTTAGATTAGGCCCCTCCATCAAGTCTTAAGTTGCTGGAATTCCGAGGCAGACCTGTCAGCTACATCGCCCCACAGGTGGCACGACAAGAAGTGACGAGGGGGTATCTGTTGGGTTAGCAAAAGGGAGACATGGACAGGCAGATGCCGACAGGATTTTCCTTCTATGTATAAGTTAGGTTTTTTAAGAAATACTAGGAACCAAACGAATAGTCAAGGGCTTCAAGGAAACTCCTTGCGCAATAAGAAAGATACAGAAACACAAATTGAAAAAAAGGAAAGTCTATATAAAGTCTAAATGTGAATTCCCCTAAGCT